CCAAGTTATATGATAAACGTGGCGACTTTAAGTTTTCTATCGTCAACTTCCCTTACTTATGCAGCAATATACCTTTATCACCTGCATACGGAGTGTATATATCTCAGTTGATTCGATACGCAAGAGCATGCTCTAGTCTACGTATGAACAATTTCTAAAACGAGTTAATTATTGACAAGCAAACTGATGAAACAAGAATATCAACAACTTTGTTTAAAGTCATCATTTCGTAAGTTCTATGGTCGGTAAAATGACCTTGTTAGCAAATACAGTTTGTAATTGAGTCAAATGCTGACTGACGTTTTCATACTAATTGTTAGTCCAATATTTATACACTGAATTGACGACGGATTTTTCTGTTATTTCACGATCATGACTATGAGCATACGGCGCGTGTGACCGGTCAGCAGGGGATGCTCACTCCTCCTTGGCACCTGATCCCACATTTGATGTTTTGGAGGTCCGTGTTTGCTGTGTTCGTATTTTGCATTGTTTTATGGACTTTGAGATTGAATACTGTTCTTTATCTCCATATCCTTCTTTCAAAGGTACATAGACAGATTTGAAGTTAATATATTCTCAAATTTTCTGTATAATATTACAGCTTATATATTACGACAACATTTCACGAAAAATATAATAAAAATGTCTTTTCATCTCGAAGTTCAGGGCGGGTTTGATTGACAATTCCTTGCACTTTCATATATCTGAATTTTATTCTTACTACGCAGTACTAATCAAAAATAATAAAACTATAAATCAGAAAATTCAGAATAGAAATGTTCGTAAGCAAAAACAGCTCAGAATTTATTGTCAGGCTGTGATCCGTGGTGTGTACAGACTTTAACCATCGGAAAAATCGAATGATTCGTAAACATTAACAATCACAGAGCTCGTGCCCTGTTTTCAAAAACAGTTTTATTTCACGGGTGAATTCAGTTAGTTAAACTCTGTACACAACACTGAGCACGGATGGATGCTACTAATGAGGGGGTTTGCTTGCGGTCAATTCTACTCTGGATTATCTGGATAATAGTTTGTATTTTAAATGTATGTCTGATCAGTACATCTGAACATGCACCAAAACGTTTTAAATAATTAAATATTTAAAGTTTCTATATGTTATATGTTCAGATCATTCGTCTTATAATCTTCAGTTTTTTAGACCTCGTTATAAGCATACACGTATATTTAAGGTTATTTATTCCCTATTAAGTATTTGCAGTCTCTAAAATTATTTTTACTATAATGCTATCATTTCTTTACCCTATTCTGTTAAACACGACCCAATTTTAGTCTCAGGTAGTGATCTTCAAACAGAACGAATTTAAAGAACACAGAGGACTAAAATAGGCGTTAACTGCTGCCCGATCCCATTCACTTTTATCTGTGAATAAAATTTTTTTTATCAATGACCAAAAATAAAAAAAAAAACCAGAATAATTTCTGTAACAATACTGTGACTTGGCGAATTAAAAAAAAAATTGCAGCTGTTCAAGGGTGGAAATAACTCGGAGCGAAAATCACCCTGTATACATTATCTTATTTTTTTGTTTTTAGATGCTACTCCTATGTTGGCGTAGTTGGTGGTGCTCAAAATCTTTCGATTGAGGCTCCTGGTTGTATGACGGTGAGATACTATGTACGATAAAAGATAACTTTTGAAGAAATGAATTTCAAATATATGCAAAAAAAACTTTTAAAAGTTGTAATAATTTTGCTCCTTATTTTATAGATATAGTATCGCCAATGACTTGTTATTGAATATGATTTTCATACAACATTTTGTGTGTTTTTCTATTTGTGTGTTTTGCCACTTTTCCTTAAACTAAAATCATCTTAAATTGATCACAATATTTCTAAACATGCAGTGTAAAACATTTCTTTTTAGCTAACCTGAGTTGAAAATAAAAGTGAGATTTTCTGCATGATTACCAGTTGCCCGTCATCCGTCCGTCTGTCAACTTTTCACATTTTCAACGTCAACTCAAGAACCATTGGGCCAATTTTAACCAACTTATGTTCAAAACATCCTTGAGTCTATTGGAGTTTAAATTGTAAAATCCACTTACAAGGGGAGATAATCAAGAAAAGACACAAATAGGATGGGGTCCTTAAAAAAATAATTTCAAGAACCACAAAGGCCAGAAGAGCTGAAAATTATGTGGAAACATCCTTGAGTAGTGTAGATTCTAAATTGTTGAAATTATGTCCCCTGGTTAAGGTGAACCAACAATAAGGAATTCAAGTTTATATTGAAATATGTAGGACCTTTTTAATTCTTCTCTCCTCAAGAACCACAGGCCAGAAAACCTGAAACTTATGTTGAGGCTTTATGGGGTAGTGTAGATTTAACATTGTCCAAAATCATGACACCGTCTTGATGACGTCTCCATGTCGGGACCACAAAAGATATTTCAGGGGCTGATCTGGTCCTGAACAGCATGGCAATAGGTACTCAGGTGACCAATTTTTTTAAAAAATTTTTTAGGTACACACGGTCTTGCATGAATTCTTGCATGCAATGGGGGGAAGTCACGAACAGTCCCGTAGTGACAGAGCTAGCATGACGTCAATGATTTGGAATAAGATTGATTCTAAAAATATGTACAATTTTGTAATGGAAAACACCAAAAACGCACTTCCTTACGATTATAAATCGCTGATGCAGTACGAACTTGATGTAAGTATCAACTGTTTAAATAATTTGTAAAAAAATAATTCCTTAAGGTTGATTAGACATATTATTAGTTGTGGCTTTAAAGTTTCGAGTACTGTCGATAAAAGCTCTTAAGGTATTATTTAAAAATGATTTAATATGGACGTTTACAAATAATTTATGGATTTTTAGCTCGTACATTCATTATTATAAATCATGAGCATTTATAAAATTACAATGCATAGAGATTGAGAGTTGCAATAAAACAATGATTTGTTTACTTTGAAGTCATTTGGTAAAAATAGAGAAAATTCCATGTCTATCCCGGATATGAGTTTTGAATACCTGATTACAAATAAGAAAGACCATCTCAGCCTTTACGACATAGGTGAAATTAACAACGCCTATAAATGTACTGGTAAGTGACGTCATTCAATAGAGCTAGATCGACATAGGCGAAATCAACAGCGCCTATAGATGTACTGGTGAGTGATCTCATTCAATATAACTAGATCACCCCCTTCCCCCCCCCCCCCCCCCCCAAAAAAAAAAAAAAGACTAGAAGCAAATTATATTCCAAGTGCATCTAATTGTTAGTTTAAAATATAATTATACCCCCGCAAACGAAGTTTTTTGGGGGGATATATAGGAATTGGCTCGTCCGTCTGTCTGTCTGTCTAGCTGTCTGTGCAAACGTGTCCAGTCCATTTCTTTCTTAAGGAGGAACATTAGAATCTACTATTTCACAAAAAGATTCCTCATGACCTAAGGGTGTGTAATGACCTTGACCCAAGGTTATTTGGGAAACTTCAAGGTCACTGAAAGAAAAAATTTCATAATTCTTGTCCGGTACATATCTTTCTTATGGATAAACTTGGTAGGTTCAAATTTCACACAAAAATTGCCCATGACCCAGGGGTATGTCATGACCTTGACCCAAGGTCATTTGGGGAAGTTCAAGGTTACTGGAATAAAAATTTCATAATTCGTGTCCGGTCCATATCTTTCTTATGTGTAAACTTGGTAGGTTCTCATTTCACACAAAGATTGTCCATGACGTAAGGTTGTGTCCTGACCTAAACTCAAGGTCATTTGGGGAATTTCAAGGTCAATGGAAGAAAAGTTTCATAATTTGTGTTCGGTCCATATCTTTCTTATGGATAACCTGATATGTTCTCATTTCACACAAAGATTGCCCATGTCCTAAGGTAGTGTCATGACCTTGACCTTGCGAGCTTGACCCAAGGTCATTTGGGGAAGTTCAAGGTCAAAGAAAGAAAAATTCATAATTTGTGTCCGGGCCATATCTTTCTTATGGATAAACCTGGTGGGTTCTCATTTCACACAAAGATTGCCCATGACCTAAAGGTGTGTCGTGACCCTGACCGAAGGTCATTTGGAGAAGTTCAAAGTCACTGGAAGAAAAATTTCATAATTCGTGTCTGGTCAATACTTTTCTTATGGATAAACTTGGTAGGTTCTCATTTCACACAAAAATTGCCCATGACCTAAGGGTGCGTCATGACCTTGACCCAATATCATTTGGGAACTTCAAGGTCACTGGAAGAAAAATTTCATAATTCATGTTTGATACATATATTTATTATGGAAAAACTTACTACTGAAAAACCCAGTGGGGGGTATTTTGTCCCATTTGGACAGTTCTAGTTTTGTTAAATATTCATTTACTAATAGTCTGGTCCCAATTTTTAAAAAGAAGGCTAGAAATAACTTCTACGGCAAATTATTATTATTTGGTCCAGCATAGTTTTTTAACCTAATTCGAGTATGCTGAATCCGAAAAAATATGCTGGCCTTCATGAAAACGGCATTAAAGAGGTCAAAATGGCGATTCAAAATGGCGGACATCCAATTTTTCTAATTTTCTCTTAATCTCGTTTAAAATGGACAAGTAATGAGTGAATATCTTACTGAGTGTAATAAAACTATAAAAAAAAATATAATAGAATGCTAACATTATTAGTATAACTCAGAAAATTTAGCCGTTTTTACACTCAATTTGAATTTTCTCTGATTTATTTGTCTATTGTTTCTTAATTCTTCTTTGTTCAGGATTTTACATTTGCAAATATCCATACACTGTAGGTTTGTATTTTTTCCTCTACATCTCACTATTCTACAATTGAATAATGGTACAGCTGTAAGTTAAAAGTCAAAATGGCGATTCAAAATGGCGGATATTCCTTTTTTCAAATTATTTCTTAATGCCTTTTACATTGGAGAAATGATTTGTGAATATCTTATTGAGCGATGTACAACTATGTAAAATTCCAATAGAACACTAGTATGATCACTTTAAATCGGAAAATTAAGTCGTGTAAATTTAAAATGTGTTATTTAGCTCAAAATGGCAATTCGAATGGAGTTTTATACACTCGATTTCGTAAAATACCCAAACTGCTTAATTCTGATTTGTTTTGCAGAAAATAAATAACAGGTTTTTCTTTATTCATGAAATAATGTTCAAATATGTTATAGAAGTTAATGGATATTTTCATTAATGACTTAGGATTTTTATAAAGCGGATTTTTGTTTAATTACTTCTATTATCAAGATAAACTTTTGACGACAATTCTGAAGACATTTCACCTATTATTCGTCATACATGTATCATGATTCTTCCTATAAAAAGTTAATAATATCATACAATAATTGCTGTTTTGAGGACAATTTGAAAATTAAGCTACCCCAAGAGCAGTATTCACCGAGCATTAAGGCGAGTGAACATTGTAGTTCGAGGGTTGCTAAATCATATCGGTGGTTGGAAATTCTTGATCTAATTTTAGTCAAGTGTAGAAAAAAATGTTAATGTTCACGTGGAAGATCTAGTGCAACATAACTTAGTATGATTTTTAAAATGATGAACCACCAGCAATTAGAGGGCTTAATCAGAGAGGTAATTGTTACATCATATAAATCTGAATATATTATAATATCCAAACATAAACATTAATTAAGAATTATCAGTATAATATACCTAAACCATAATTTTTTTTGATTGTCCAGCTCTGATTCTGTGGCCCTACATTTGGATTTTGTTATTCTCGGTCAAAAATTCAACTGCATTCTGAAATATTTCATGGTGTGAACGGTCCTCCTCCACCAATTTTGTATTGAACAGTGTATATAAATTAAAAATTTTAAAATTTACAAAATCTGAAAGAAGAAAATTTTTTTTTAATCCTCCCTCGATTCTTGATACATGTACAACTTTACACTATCCTAACGAAGAAGTGTTGATCAAGTTACCTTGTAAGGTTCTTGGAGTGTTCAAGAAAATTTTGTTGTCAGGAGAAGTGCTGACTAGATCGAAGTCAAGAATGGCTTAGGCCTATTGATACGAAACCTTGTAAATGATAGGAATCACGAGGAATCTGCAGGCGCTATTAAATTGCATCATTTTAACTTTTCTCACCAAAATATGCACACAATGTGATTCCAGATGATGAAGTTTGAGAATTTTCTTGCTAATAGAATGACCGTTCTACCCTAAAAGAAAACAAATCTATACGCAGTCACCAAATAAAGAGCTACATGTCTTAAATATAAGAGATTTTATTTTATACACCACCCACCGATTGAAAAGCGGGAGGGTATAGAGTAGTCGGTATGTCCGTCCGTCCGTATATACGCTTTGGGGTACCCGTCTCTTATCCGCAAATCGTCTCATACCACTAGATAAAATTTGATAAACTTTTACAGAATCTTTATTACATATTGCCATTGTGCACCTCCTCTTTTACTTTTTGATCCAACACATATTTTGGGTTTCACATAGCAAAACATAGACACTGTGTATTCATATGGGTGACGGGGTATCATTTAGTGAGCTAATTGCTCACAGTACCTCTTCTTCATTTTGCATAAGGTTTTTGAAAACAAAATAAACTTTTAACATTTGAACATAATGTATTGTTCCTTGAATGTTGATTGATTGTATATTGTTTAACGCCGAGTCGGCTATTTTCAGCCATGTTTCGGTGGACTATCAGGGCACCGTTTTACTTGAGTGTTGAAAATACCAAAATTCCGAAGACAGAGTGACATATAAAATAAAGCTGGAATAGAAGATGTTAGGGGATAAAACTAAGTTCTTATAAGTGCTAAAAAGCTAGAACAAAGTATTCGATGAAATCGGAAAAGAATTTCCTCAGTTATATTTGATGGTATGCTGAGGGATGTTGAGGTAGAAATGCGAGTTGATAAAGACTGGATTCAGGAGTGATTTTAGGTGGACGGGGGCTCAAAGGCTTTGAAACACGGTCAAATACGAAGGGGAAAATTTGGAAACTCTGAAGTCGAGTTTGTTTTAACTATTTCCAGAAAAAATGAATCTCTTCTGATATTTTTTGTTTGTTCATATTTAATGGAATAATCAATATACTATAATTATATATAAAAAACAAACTGTAATTTATTTTCAAAATTAAGCAGTTTGAGTATTTTACGAAATTCGAGTGAATATGACGTCATTTTAAGTTTTGAGCTGATTAACACATTTAAATTTAAACGACTAAATTTTCCGTTTTAAAGTGTTCATATTAATGTTCTATTGGAATTTTACATTAGTTAAATGTACTCGCTCAGTAAGATATTCACAAATCATTTCTCCTATGTAAAAGACATTAAGAAATGATTTGGAAAAAGGAATATCCTCCATTTTGAATCGCCATTTTGACTTTTAACTTACAGATGCACCATCATTCAATTGTAGAATAGTGAGATGTAGAGGAAAAAATACAAACCTACAGTGTATGGATATTTGCAAATGTAAAATCCTGAACAAAGAAGAATAAAGAAACAATAGACAAATAAATCAGAGAAAATTCGAATTAAGTGTAAAAACGGCTAAATTTTCTGAGTTAAACTAATAATGTTAACATTTTATTATATTTTCATAGTTTTATTACACTCAGTAAGATATTCACTCATTACTTCTCCATTTTAAACGAGATTAAGAGAAAATTAGAAAAATTGGATGTCCGCCATTTTGAATCGCCATTTTGACCTCTTTAACGCCATTTTCATGAAGGCCAGCATATTTTTTTCAGATTCTGCATACTCAAAATAGGGTAAAAAGCTATGTTTGACCAAATAATAATAATTTGCCGTTAGAAGTATTTTTTTCTATAAATTGGACCAGACTATAACTTAAGTTTCCAGTAAATCTGATTATTCAAATTTAATACGTTTTACATGCATTGTAAAACTAAAAATAAATTTTAAAAAATCATAGAAAATTGGCTTAACTTGTATACATGTGTTCATTCGTCTGCAAAGCTGATTGTTTCAATCAATGTGAAAATGGAGGCGTGCTCACAAAAGAAAACGGCCAGTGCAGATGTAAATGTCCGTCCGGTTTGAAGGGGGAAGACTGCTCTGAATTAGACACAAGTGACGGTAAGCATTAAGAACCATTCTTTGTAATGATTTCAAATTTTATATAGGAGCTGTGGCACGCATAGTCTCAGAATTTCTCCAAACTCTCTATGATAAAAGTCATTGATACCCTAAACTGAAATCAGGCAAATATTGGTTGCTATGTTTTATTGTTACATGTACCATAGCAACATGTCTTAAAGTTCGAAAAATGGCGTTTTTAAACATGTTTAGAGCGTCATAGTTAACATTTGCGGCAAAGCAAACAATTAGCAATGACTGTTTCCAAAAGTTGAAGGTCAGATGTCTCAAATGCACTGATAAACATGTTTTGTAAATCAACTATTACATAAGTTACTATGGTAACAAAGTATTCAAAAGTAAAAAAAAATATTCATTGAATTTTATAAAGTCATACACATAAAAATAAAAAGCAATTAAAGGATGAAATGTGATAAAATAATATAAAAAGAGCCTAGAAACATATACAAATAAAAAAATATTATATTTCATTGTGGTTGGCAATGGTTGCAAAGGTTTTTATACCACAGAGAGCCTTCAAAGTAACACTCTGTATGTTTAAATCTGATCCTATCTTTTAAAAAAACACATTTCCTCATAACTAATGATCAATTTTATAAGATGTTGGTGTGTTTTCCCATGTGAAAAATTCAGATTAGATTCTTTAAATAGAGCGTTGCTATGGACATAAGCAGAAAATATATGCTTAAAAATCTGAAAAATATTTTCTTTTCTTGGATACTTACCAATAAATGTAGATTCCCAAAACTTTTATGATTGATATTTATTAACAGCTAACTTGACTTTTAATTTTGACTATCATCCAATCTCTAAGTGGATGCAAGAAGTTGGCACACAGGGTTTAATATTGATATAAAGTTCACAAATCGAACATTTTCCCTTCTTGGTTATCATAGCAACAGTGTTGTTTTATTCATCAAACTTTATCAATATAGGATATTCAACTTCAGTTCTAACATTTAAGTACTATTCAAGCTGAGTCCTTTAATTTGTTTCTTGATTAAATGGCAATTTAATTCTTAATGCAGCGAAAAATAATTCACTTTTAAGCACTGGTACTTTGTTTCCGTGGTAACACTGCAAGGTAGCAATTATATTCAATTTTTCTTATGGTTTTTGTGTTGCAAGGTCCTAAGGATGCATATTTGCCAGTCTTGAATTTTCATGTTTTTCCTCAAGACAATAGCACTTACCCAATCTTAGTGACTGGTTTTGCATGGTTACACTGTGTTACCATGGCAACCATAAAAGTTATTTATAGAATAATATTACTTATACTTAAATACTTAAGGCCATATCGATACATTTTCATTGTTTTTCTTAAGTCGTTGATTGAGTTTGAGCATGTAACACATACCATTAGTGAATATGGAGTGTTTTTCAGCATATTTCAGCATTTTAAATGTATTCCAATTGTATCCTTGGTTACCACTTACTTAGAGATATATTCTAAACAGTTTCTTAACAGTATAAGTGACATCAAGGTGTCATGTTTTTGTGGGAATGGTTTGTTTGCTTTTTCTAGTTTTTATTAAGCCACAGTCAAGATTTAAAGTGGCTGAAAATTTCAATTTTTCAAACTTTTCCGGCTGTTGCCATAGCAACCGAGACACATAGCAACGAAATTTTGTTTGATATTTGTTTCTGGTGTCAAGTACTAAGCATGGGTGAAGTTTCATCAAAATCGGTGACCATGCATGGCAAAGAAGTTTAAATGGTTACAGAGAATGGCTTTTAAAAAACTTATTTATGCCCTGCCATGAATATGGCCGGGGTATATATTTGTCATGTCCGTCTTCCGTCCTTCTGTCCTTCCATCCTTCCATCACACTGTATTTAGCTCAGTGCAAAGCTCATTTTTAATACAACTATCCCAAATATTTTTTTATCAAACTTCATATGATCTGAGAAATTGATAAGTTCTGTGAAACTGCATCAACATTTTTTTTTATCTTGACCTTTCCTTTAACCTTAACCCCACTTTTTAAAAAAAAATTACTGTTTAACTAAGTTTTAAAGATACCAGTCAGGAAAGTGTGATCAAACTTCATATGTTTATATATACTGATGTAAGTTATTCAAATGCATCAACATAATTTGAACTTGACCTTTCCTTTGACCTTGACCTCACTTTCCTTAAATTAGTATTTACTTTATTTCTCAAGATACCATTTAAAAATCAAATTAGTGTGATCAAACTTCATTTGTTAATATATATGTTGATACATATTGATGCATATTGATATAGCTATTCAAATACATAAATATTTTTTACCTTGACATTTCCTTTGATTTTGAGATCACTTTACTTAAGTAATTGAAAACTTTGTTTTAAAAGATACCATTCAAGATTATGTAATCAAACTTCATATAATAATACATACTGATACAAGATTTTCAACTGCATCAACAATTTTCTATCTTGGTCTTTCGTTTGACATTGACAAATCTTTTCTTAGGTACCTACATGTATTTAGCACATTTTTAGATAAACCATGAAAAATATTTAAAGATATTTTATCAAACATAATATGCTAATACATAATAATGGGAGCTATTCAACTGCATCAATATCTTCTGACCATGCACTTTGCTGTGACCTTGACCTCTTTTATTTGTATTTTTTTAGTTTTAAAGAAAACAAAATTGATCATATAAACCTAATATTTTACATTTCAAATTCAATTTAAAGAAACTGCTCAAGATATTTCATCAAAACTGAAAACATTAATACAAATTTTCATGTTGCCTTAGTTATATACATCTACACTTGGCGGGGCATATTCATGTCCTATGGACATATGTGTATGTGTAGTTTCTTATTTAACCTCCTCCCCCATTCCACAAAAACTGAAGAATTGTCAGATTTTTGTGAACTGTTTTGTAAGTCAGGACTTTCTATTTTTATTCATAAATAACTTCATTGCCATACAGTTAAAAATAATTGAACCTTAAGTGAAGCTTCGACAATTTTTTTTTTTGGGGGGGGGGGCTTCTTTTCATTTAGGAAATTATTTGATTACTGTATAGTATTTACTGAGACAGTATGATAAAATATTAACATGTTAATTTGAAATAAATTAGATATTTGTCTTCCTATTCAACGCGGTTTAATTCACGTCATGTGGCTCCTTGTTCTAGGCCAGATTAAATATTATTGACGTGAGACCATTGTAAAAGAGTCTGAGAAATGAACGACCGTTAACTCTGCATAGAAGATTGAGTTCTATGCAAGCCTATAACATGATATGGATTTAGTGAAAGGGTGATACACTCCTAAGGTAACTTTTTATACTGTTCTAAAAGCTTTTTATTACTCAAATGATAAACATGTAAATCATATTGTCAGGTTGTGGCGGCTTCATACAACTCGGCTTAGGAGAAGCATATACAATCAACATGGATTCTTATAACTCAGGGGTTATTTGCACTTGGGTTGTCAAGGTAACTATAAATTTAAAGTAAAATTCCTGATATGTCATGAGTATTCATCGATCATGGTACAAGAAAAACCCCCTTTCTGGAAACATAATTAAAAAAAAACTTTTTGATTTTTGATATATATATATATATATATATATATATATATATATATATATATATATATATATATATATATATATATATATTTGAATTTATTTACAAAAATACCTATCATCTCTCAAAATGAAAAAAAAACAACATTCCAGATATAAGTGAACAAATATTTGGTAATATTTACATGCGCTGTTTTTTTGTTTTTTAGTCAACCAACTGTGAAATTTATTTGAATACCATTTTCATGTATATCCACGCGTAGAAATATACATGGAGAAAAGTGCGCTAACGTGAAGTCACAATTAGGCTATATAGACGTTAGTAAAAATGTAACGATATAGGCCATCTAGAATTTCGAACATTGGTATATTTATTGTATATTTTAAACATATAAAATGTAAAAATAAGGAATGTTTTTCACTTAAATGTGAATAATTGGTGTCACAGAAACTTATTAAGTTTCAGTCTTCTCAAAGAAATTTTTACTTAATACCGGATCGATAGATATTCAATGTTTCAAAAAAGATATAAAAACATAGACTTTGTGTAATGTCATTCAAATTAATAGGAGATATCATTTCATGGGATCAATAATCAAATTAATTATATCTTGTTTGAGATTTTACTTTCAAATGATTCAACATTGTTTATAGGGAACAATGGGATCTCGTATAACAGCTATGGTTGATTTTATGGATCTACCATTCAACGAATTCAACGATTGCTACCATTGGCTGGAGTTCCGGGACTATCTTATAGGCGATAATGGCAAAGAGTGAGTAATACTGGTATTCCAAAATTTGGGGAAAAGCAGAACTTGTGTTTGAAATCCACAGACCGTTTATATATTTCATGAAAAAGACAATGGTCTGCTGTTTCCTCTGCTTCTGATATGTATCCTTTAAATAATCAAATCAAAGATAAAGAAGGCGGGTAGAGTTTTACCTCGTCGATTCGTTTGCATTAAAAAAAAGCAATAACTTCTTTAAGTATAATTATACATGTAAAGGGTTTTTTATCCTATTTTATTTTCTTCGAATATTGAAAATTCGCTTATGACAAATGGACAAGAAATAAGAATTTCCTTTCTTTACTTTCAAAATTATAGCAATTTTTGATATAATTGAAAAAAGAACAATAAGCAAATTCAAAGAATTGTGAACCAACAAACAAATTCAGAGTATGTGGTCCCCCCTTTTCGGTGTATATGTTGGTTGGATGTCATTTTTATGGGACAATTGTGTCAAATATAAATGTCCTTTAAGAAGTTATCACCGAAATTGATATAAAATATAGTTCATATGTGAAAGTCAAGATCAAGGGGTCAAACGTGATAAGTTATCTTGTCAAAGGGAATGCAAATGTCAAATATTGAAGCCATATCTCTTCTCAATCAAAAGTTATAAGGAACAATGAACAATTTTAAAAAATAGGTCAAACTTCAAGGACAAGGCCACAAGATCAAAAATCGTAATGTATTTAGAAAGTTCTTGTAATAAGCGATACACATGTTTAATATGAAAGCTCTTGTTTTCTTATTCAAAAAATCTTGAGCAAGGTTATTTTTTCTTCTATGAAGGTCAAACTTCAAAGTTAAGGTCAATAGGTCAAAAATCATACTGCATTTAGAAAAGGTCTTATCACAAGTAATATACATGTGTAATATGGAAGCCTTATCTTTTCTTATTTAAAAGATATGACCGAGGTTCAAGTTTTTGTGACGGACGGACAGCTAGACAGACTGACAGACGAATGAGATTTAATGTCCCCTCCCTTTTGCGATAGCGGGTGCACGTGACAAAAAGTTAAGAGATAAAAAAATCATTTCGTGGTATTGTTTAATTAGCATAAAATAATTAATCAAAACGATATTGAAGAAGAAAAAAACAATTTAAGAATAAAATGAATAATAAAAATACGTTGAAAATATTTGCGTCAAATATAAAAATTTTATTTTTATATTTATTTATTTCTCTTTCCCCGTTTTTAAAGATTATTCTATAAAGTCACTGAACTTACTTTAAAAAAAAAATTAAACATCATCGTTATGTTTCAAATTTCTGTTGTTAATGTAAAATTGTTTGCATAAATCCTTTATTTAAAAAGAATATCGAAAGATCATTGAGCCATACAGGGATCACTGTGGATTTTAATGTTGATGGGCCATTGGCCCATCAACATTAAAATCCATGGGAAATACGCCGGGGGTATGGGGGCCGCGTTAGGCCCCCATTATACATGTATATTAAACATTTCAATGGGGCAACATTTGAATATAGGGGGAAATTGATTTTCCATGCTATTTTGTGATGAATTTCAAGTAAATATGATGGGTCTTTGAGGGTTTTTAAATGCCATTTCTGACACAATCAATTTAATTTTTTTTTTAAATAAAAATATAAAAGATTTTTTGTTTAATTTCATCTTAAAATTCAGTACTGAAAAATGTCATATTGGAGAGTTAATTCCTCGCCCCTTGGATTTTATCGATTTAGTTCTCGAAGATTGTTGAAGAGCTAAACTATAAAGGATGCAAACTTGCATGCACATTTCTCTACAGAATATACCTGGGGCAGTTGCAGATTAAATTTAGTTCAAATGGTAGGGACTGGTTTTGTATGCAAAGAACTCGGAGCAAAATACGCAAAAAACTTAAATAAGAGAAATTTTATTTTTTTGCAAAACATTTTAGTCCCATCTGATCAAATTCCAACCACGGATGCAAAGTTAGCCACTTGGACTGGACATGACGAACATCGTTGCCGTTGACATCAGATAAGTTAGTCAAAGGGAATGCAAATGTCTTGAAGCCTGTTCTTCTTAGTTATCAGAGACCTTTAAAAAATAGTCAAACTTGGGAATCAAAAAAAGTTTCCGTCGTTTTATTTGTAAAACAAACGAAAGCTTTTTTTGTTTTGGGTTAGTTGGCCCAATACCGATCTTCGCTTTGGAGGCATTTCGGGCAAGTGTCTGGATACACAATGAGTAACTTGTACTTGTTTTGTTTCGAAATAAATAATCAAAGTTTTAATAAATATTATTAGGAACATATTATTACTGGATTTTTATATAACTTTCATATGTTTATTATTTAAATCATTACATATAATTTTAATAAATATAATTGATTCAGTATTCGGTAAAAAAAAAATTCTAGTAGCGTAATCTTAACGAAGGAAATATTCCATGTACAACTCCGATTTTAGTCTTGATCAATCAGACGCTCTGCTGGTGTAAAGAACATACGCGACTACATGGTAAAAATCTGATATTACTAACGAAGTAACAGTATGCTCAAATTACGTCATGTATACAATCGGTCAGCTTAAAAACGGTCCTAAAATGCACCAAGATATGTGTTTTGACCCACAGTTTTGCATCTTATAGCGCCATATCTGTAAGACATGCGCCAGACTGACTGACCCCTTTCTAATTTTTTAATGCGCCATTTACAAATATTGAGCGTCAATGTCGCAAAGGCGCAGCCCAAAGTGATCCCTATCATAAGTTCATTTAAGTCATTGAATTATAAAATTTCATTTTGTTTGACAGGCGATGTGGGAATGAGAGTGGGGCCACCTTTAAGAAGATGATGATTGGTGAAGCGTCACGCATGATGATTCGCTTCAACAGCCAGAAGCACAATAACCAGCCTCCCGGACAGGGCTTTGTTGTCACAGTAGAGGCTACACAGTCAGGTAAAACACAAGAATCACGCTTAATTGAATTCAAACTTCTCTGATTAAAGAGTTGCGTTGCCAGTGATTGTTTGTCTTGTATCCTTTGACATCTTTAAACTTTTCAAATTTTGTTTTTATTCTTTTTTATTTATTTTTAAATTAACCCATATCAAATGAATATTCAAATTTTTATTCTCAAATTAAGCTTTAGAATTAGGTAACATACTTGAATCATTTAACTTGGCAATGGATTATATCCACCATAAAATCTGATCAAGTTAAATTTTTGAAAAAATCTGCATTATTTCATTTATTTAGATTGCAGTTTTTCACCTTGCAAAAACGGAGCAAACTGTACCGATATATTTGGAGGGTTCAAATGCGAATGTTTCAATGGATTTTCTGGATCGTTATGTGACAATATTAAAGGTTAGGCTTAATTTTTTTTTCACATTTATGGAAAATATTTATGAAATTTCTTCATTAATAGGACATTTTTAAGTATAACTGACTTCTCCAGAAAACTTTTTAACTGACTTTTACAGAAATTGTGATTTTGAACAATTTTGGTGCCAAAAATATTTATGTTTTGTGCTCTTTATCACAGCCTCTGCAAGAACCATATGCGATTTTCAAGATGACTTCCGCGGATGCGTTTTTCAACCAGACCCCTTTTACTCACAGTTTGAGTTTTCTTTTAAAACGGTATGTTTGGATTTATAAATGTAAGTATAATCACTCAGGTTTTCAGTTGAAATAATATACATTATTTAATAGAAAACCCTGTGACGATTTCGCAAGTCTCCACTTTACAATACCTTTCTATTTGTTTATAGTATAATTTATATTTAAAAAACTTTTCACTTCTTCCCACCCACTAATGGGCAATTTATTTGCAATCAAACTAATTTTACACTGCATCCTTAAAATGATAGTTCTTTTCAAAAGGAATCATCTAAAAAAAAAAATGATGAGAATTCGACTGCAGTCAGGATTTTTTTCTTTATTTTTAGAATATTCAAACGGTGAGAAAAAATATATACCTTTAAAAGATACTGTATAATTGAAGTTTGAGTAAGTTAAGTTACATAGGCCCTAAGAAATAGAATTGGAAAAAATTATTTTATCAAACAGATAGCAAGATGTAAATGCTTTATTCAGAAAACGATTTTTCTGGAAGTTCCACTTCATAAAAACACATTAGAGAATATTTATTAAATATAAATATACGCGTATGTGATATACATTTAGAAAATTCTTCTTTTTTGCAGCAAAAAAAAAAAAAAAAATCCAAAATCTAAGCAAATCAATTAACATTTTTTTCTCGAATACATTAAAACCCAAGATAATAAAAAATACAAATACCAACATAGAATAAAACTAGAGCAAAGCTCGTTGCAAAGCAACGAGTAGGTCTTTCGTCCTGTTTGACCGTTAGTTGCTTTCATTTTTAACAAAGATGAGAAATAACGCCCAAAAATGCTTTGAATCCTCTAAAGCTATGTTAATTAATGCAAAAATAAGCCATTTTTTGCTACTTCTGGTTTGACCGGAAGTGAGAACGACGCACGGAAAATTAATTTTTAAGCTCCCAGAGACATATGTTACCCCAAAAATACGCGTTTTCCGAGTACTTCCGGTTTGGCAGGAAGTGTCGACGTTGGACATATTTTGACGACTTCATTAGATTAATCTTGACATTTTCAACAACTTTGCTTCTTTGATGTATAACAAATTCTCAATACTTTTTGAGATATCGGGAAAAAACTTTTGGCCCTCTAGATCCTTTAAATTAGGGGTCAGCCCTTTTTCCTAATTATGCACAAATTATGTTCTATATATTTTACAAAATATTTTTAGTTTAGAAGATAAAGAGCAAAATATGAGTAATTTTTGGTTCTTTAATGCTCTCTAATTTTTGACCCCTATATAGTGCCATTTTGAATAGAGAAATCGAAAAACAAAAACCGATGTGCACAACGTCAATCCTTCTTTGATCTAAAATCAGTAGAATTTCTGCTCCAGCTTTAGCCGTCTCTGAGCCTTTGTCTGGAAACGAAAGCCTATAAATTTTCGTTTAAAGGGAAATAACTCAAAACTGGAAGTGACTTTTTGAAATTTAACTCAGCATTCTGATAGAGTTCATAAACATCTGTAATCTCTGAAAATTTGAGCGAAATCCGTTGAGAAATGAGCAAGTTACGAGGTCTCAAAGTTGGCGTCTAGGCAAAAAAATTATAGGGAATAATCTTAACCATCAGAATCAGTAGAGGAAGATCTTAATAAGTTGGTAGAGGAAGGTTAGTGCAACCTTTACCATATGTAGTGAATTTAGGTTATAAGACAGAAGAAAACTGAAATATTTGTTTTTTGTTTGTTATTTTGAAATAATTCCTGAGACATCTCTACTTGTAAATTAAAAAATTTTGCAAATAAACTCAGAAATGGTATGTACATTCATCTATTTCCGTCCCTTACCTAACCGCGGCATTTTGAAGTATTTCTTCATGTTTTATATGAGCTTGTATAATTAACTTTCTGTAGATAATGAAAGATATTTGTTGGAATAATTCTGTAAGGTAAAATATATACCCCCCCCCCCTTGATTGCCCGGGATTTCATCTAGTTTTATGTATTAAACATTAAATAATCAGTTTTCAGTTTAAGGAAAAGGCGTGCACGAATAATTCTTGTACATTTTACATAGATAAACAAGGAATAAGAGAGATAACTCTTAATGGCATAAATGTCTATTATTCCTTTATTGATTTGTTAAGTTGAAGTGTCTTTCATTTTGGTTAAATTTTTCCCTGCAAGCTATGTTATAACTGTTGGCATTTAACTTATAAAATACATTTCTCTTGGGAAATCATTATGGTTCAAGCAACATTTTTTTTAATGAGCAGAAGGTTTATGAATCTTAAGGATAAATAACAAAAACTTTTTTTCAAGAAATCAGCAATATTTTTCATAGATTTACATTTAAATTGATAACCTGAATAATGTTTGCAAAGTATAGTGGAAGAATTTTATAAGAATTTGTCATAAGGTTAAACAATTTTGCGATTTTTTATGGAACTATGTAGAAAGCAAAACAAATTCTCAAATCTAAGCAACAAGAAAAATCTACGATTTCTTTATATTTCAGGGATTAAATATGTCATTTCAAATCAAAATCAGTCAAAAAATATATATCAATCCATGCATCAAATTCTGTTTGTGTTAAGTACCCTTAATATCATGTACTGTGTAACAATTTTCCTCAGACACATTATTTTTTTTCTAGAGTGTTGATTACCCTGGTAATGCTCTCGGTTTTCAATATATTTATGTTCCGACTTATGGCACAGATTATGAGAGAAAAAAGGCGTATTTAATCACTTCAGCTAAATTCGAAGGTAAGAACTATTTCACCATTTTTATTTATTTCAGTAATTGCTATAATCTTTACATTAATATAAAAGTTATTGAAACCACCCTTATATTTTGGTCTATTTCAGTCTTTGTACGTTTCAGTGTATATTGATTTTTATTACGTTTTCATTTAAATACTTGACTCGTTAAATTTTTTACTGAAATAAAAATTATATACACCACACAAAGAAGGATATGGAGATAACGAACAGTATTCAATATCAAAGTCCATAAAACAATACAAAATAGGAGCAGAACAAACACGGACCTCCGAAACATCAGAGATGGGATCAGGTGCCATGGAGGAGTGAGTATCAAGTTTCGAACAACTTAAATATGAATCACAATAAATTATAGAATTCCTTTTCAATTTTAACTCTATGATAAAATGATATAACCAATATAATTATGCAGATTGCCCTACAATGTACGGAAAAAAGTCATTTGATTTATTTTATAATTTCTCCTTTTCAATGTTTTGGAGTGTTCTGATAACATATTATAGAAATATCCTTTTCCTTAACTTACCAAAATCATACATTCTTTAACTTAACAAAATCGTAATATTATATGTTTAATTGCATAGCTTGAAAATTGTTTATTCTTTTCCTTATCCAACGAAAATCATATAAATATTATTCCTTAACTGCATTGTAACTAAAATAATATATTTTTAATTGCAGAGTTTGAACGAAGTACATCCATTTCCTTAACTTACCAAATTCATATAGGCCTATTCCTAAACTAACCAAAATCATGTATTTTGAATTGCAGAGTTCGAACGATGTTTAAGCTTTAAATATCTGTTTTCCCGCCAATATCTTGGTACTGGTTATGACTCTCAGGTCAGGATCAGTTACTGGAGTGTTAACGATCAAGACAAAACCTTATACACACTCGGCAAACCTGATATAGTCTACCAAGCATGGCAGAATTTTTCTATTTCTTTACCAGCTGTACAAGACTTAAAAGTGAGTCTTCTATTTTTGAAATTAAAATTTTAATTATTAAAGTAAAGGTTGGGCTGTACTCGAATCACCATTCCCGTCTGACTGTCCGTCTATAGGCCTTTCAACTGCCGCTAGGGGTCGGTTTTATGAACGATAACTCACTGCCGAAACGTGTAGAGCAGGCTCGTTGTATCTAACTGTTTACGCGCAAGGCAGTTTCTAGCGTTTCCCAAGTGTTTCTTTGCTCTCAGTAGAATCCAGTGGTTTTTAAATTTAGCACCAGTGTTAAACTTATTTACTGTATAGTTGCGGACAGTTTAACTACATATAATTAAAAGTTTTAATTAAAATAAAAGTGAAATCTACCCTACTTCTTAGTTCTAACCTACTTAAATTTTTATGCTCCGTCGTTCCCCTTCGTGCTTAGTAACACAAATAAGATGATCAATTGTTGCATTTACTTGTAAAAATATATATATTCATATAGGAAGCGAAAAAGCGCGAACACAAGAACATGACATTAAATTTTCTTCTTCATAATAATCGTCAAAGAGTTAAAAATATTGAATATAGTCTGTTCCCCATTCATTTGACCCTGTTATTTCAGGTAGAGTGAAGGCATTCTCTTTCTCTTGGTCAACACTTTTGTGTACAAAACAATAAAAGGCACCCTTTTGTGTACATAACAATACCAATGCTGAAGCAGCCTATATGTCATTCCTATAAACGATAACTCATAAATCGGCACTAAGTTGGTCATTTTTCACACATGAGTTACCTGTCCTTAAAACACAACATAGGAAAAGTCAATTATAAATGATTAAATTTTTAATGATTTCATTAAAAGTATCCATAAGTTGTTATCTTATTTTTATAATTTCATGTACCTATAAATCTATCTTTGCAATGTTTTTTTTACTATATGTGCAACTTGAAAAATTAGTTGAAAGGCCTACCGTCTATCTGTAGATGTGATTTCTTTGTCAGGACCTCTGTTCTTAAAGATCATTTCATGGATTTGCCTAAAAGTTAGTACACTAATCATCTATATTTACATGTAATACCCCCTTGTACCTTCATCAGATTGTTTAGTTTTTTCATTAATATTGACCTAGTCATTTGGGTTCATACGGTCAATTAGTGCATGTTTGAAAGTAAAAGTGAATTGCAGCTCAAGCTTCCTTCGGAAACAAAAGAAATCACAAATACTAAGTATCAGAAAATTACTTTGGTAGATTGTGTATAATTATAAGTAATTATATGCCATACTGTAACATAATTGAAAAAAAAAGCACCAAAACTACACACTTTTTCCATTATACGTGGGTTGTCCAATAGAAACGGAAACATTTTTAACATTCTTTGTTTCATTTACAGTGTAAACTTTGAAATGAAAATTTAGCACACAACATAAT